ATTACAAAAAAAGGAAAAAAATAGGTTTACTGAAAAATGTCCTTGATGAGGCAATAAAAGGAATAGTCTAACGGGCAATTCAGTATTAAAATGTGAAAGGATTTTTTTTTCTGTTGATGCCTTTTGGCTAAGATGGATAATAAACAAGTTTAATGGTAAATGGTAAAAAATGTTTTATTCCTCTCTTCATATGAGATATACTGGTCATCATTTAGCCATATTCATTTTTGCTTAACTTCAAATCAGTTCTAGGACAAAAAAAAAAAAGGTATTAAAAATACCCTGGCCAAGGCTAGAACAATTTGAGCAACAAGATAAAGTACTATTGAATTATACTTCAAAATATACAACCAAAACAAAAATATAAATATCCATGAGTGCATACTGATATAAATAAATCATTGAATGAGTTAATAAATGGGAGAGAGACAAATCTAGCAGAATTCCAAATAAATGACGTAGATATTTTATCTTAAAGGCAGGGGCATAACTTCCCCACTCCTTCCCTGTGGGCTGCATAGTGACTTCTTTCCAAGCAGTAGAGTATTTGAGGGTGGGGATGGGGGAAGTAACTCTTACAGTGTCAAAGCCCAACAAACACTACTATGTGATCAAGGTCAACATCAATAGTCATAAACCATGATGATAGCATGTACTCTTGATATGATAAAAATGGCACTTTGCCTCTGCGATATTCTTCCTCCAAATCCATTACCTCAGTTTAACCATTAGAAAAACATAAGACAAATTCCACTAGGAAGGCATACTACAGGGGCACCTGGGTGGCTCAGTGATCTCAGTGGCTGCCTTCGGCTCGAGTCATGGTCCTGGGTTCGAGCCCCACATCGGGCTCCCTCTGCCCTCCCCCCAACTCCTGCTCTCTCTCTCAAATAAATAAAGTTAAAAAAGAAAGAAAGGCATCCTACAAAATACTTGGCCAGCACTCCTCAAAACTGTCAAGGACATAAAAAAATAAGGAAAATCTCAGAAACTGTCACAGCCCAGAGGAACCTCAAGGAGACATGAGTTCTAAATGCAATGGGTTTGGATCCAGCAGCAATAAGAAGACATTAGGGTAAATCTGAATAAAGCATGGGCTTTAGTTAATAATGCATTGACATTGATTCATATGGTAATAAATGTGACAGACTAATGTGTCAATAATAGGAAAAACTGTGTGAGGTGGTCAGGGAGGGTGAAGGAATATATAGAGCTTTGTTCTACCCTCTCAGTTTTTCTCTAAATCTAAAAACTTCTAAAAAATAGAATTAATTTGGGGCGCCTGGTGGCTCAGTCGTTAAGCGTCTGCCTTCAGCTCAGGTCATGATTCCAGGGTCCTGGGATTGAGTCCTGCATCCGGCTCCCTGCTCGGCGGGAAGCCTGCTTCTCCCTCTCTTGCTCCCGCTGCTTGTGTTCCCTCTCTCACTGTTTCTGTCAAATAAAATCTTAAAAAATAGAATTAATTAAAAAAAACTTATCAATTGGTGAATAATTCTACCATCCAACACTCTAGCCTTAGAGAACTAAAGTTCTATAATGGGATATCCTGTGCATAATTCAATTCAGTATTTACCAAGGTCCTACTTTGTAGGCCTCTGAACTGCTGGGTACCTATTATAAAAAGATGAACAAAACAAGATCCAAGGCCTAGTTGGAGATAAAAGACATTTTAATAGGTAATTATTGTACTGTGAGGTGAGCAGAACTGAAGAGCACAGAGAAAGGGGTTTAGGAAGGTTTCGCAGAGGAGGCATAGGGAGGAAAAGGTACAGAAGCAAGAAATAAGTGGGGCTGGGCCTGATTTTTTTTAAACCTGTTCCTCTAAAAATCTTCTTTTCTCCCTGCCTTTTTTTTCCCTGAAAATAAAAGCACTGTAGAGGCCAATACTTTAACATGGTGTTTTAACTTTGCATGAACACTGGGGAAAATATACTTTAGAAAATGCCAAAATTTCTAAAATTACTACAAGCATGAAAAAATATACATTTCAAAGTAAGTGAATTTTTCAAAGATTTATTTATTTGAGAGAGAGAGAGAGCACGAGCGGGAGGGGGAGAGAGAGAAAGAATCTCAAGCTGATTCCATGCTGAGCACAGAGCACAACTCCGGGCTGGATCTGACAACCCCGAGATCACACAAAATAAGTGAATTTTAAAACTGGGATCAGTGGGAAATGGGGCTAAAATATGAAACAAAGATAACATATTGAAAGATGATGTCTAGGGGCGCCTGGCTGGCTCAGTGGGAAGAGCCTGTGACTCTTGATCTTGGGGGGGGGGTCATGAGTTCAAGCCCCATGTTGGGTGCAGAGATTACTTAAAAATTTTTTAAAAACTTAAAAAACATGATGTCTAAAGTAAGTATCCAAAAGGATGACTACATGAACAAAATTCTGGGAAACAGCAATTTTGTCATTCAGCTTTCTGTTTTATTGCGGATCTTTCAAACAACTCAATTTCTATGGGTGTAAACTAGTAAGGGGGGTGGACAGAGGAGCAAAGAGCATCTGCTCTGTGACAGGTACATACGTAAGAGAGGGTCTCTATAAACATGATCAACTGTAATCTTTAGAAAAAGCCATGAAATGAGTGTCTTCTATGTTTTCTGGAGAAAACCCATGCTCAGAGGAATTCAGTAGCTTGCAGCAGAGCAGGATTGGAACCTGGGTCCATCTGAGAGTAAACCCATGTCCTTTTCAGTCCCACTTAACCATTGGCCAGCTACTTGTAATTCGGCAGAATTCACCCTGTTGGTTCCAGACAAAGCAGTCTTGAGATTGCTTCTGAGTTCTCTCCCTTACTATGATTGCACTGTATTCACTTCATAGTCAAGGGCACTGACCAAAGAACATTTCTAATTACATGTCTTGTTTACAAGTAATTTATTAATTAGCCCAGTGCTGGGCATACAATACATACATACTCCAAGATTAATCCTACAAATGTTCATCGACATAGTTTTCAATATATTTTCATAATCATAGTCGCTCATTTAGGCCACCAGTTTTGTGTACGTCAAGGTAACATACTCTTGTTGGAAGACCTCCCTTTTCTTACCATCATGCTGTTAGATCTCTAAGCTTTTACATCGCCAAGTGTTTTGAGGTGACTGCAAACGGAGGCAACTCCTCCCGGAACGAGAGCGCCTTCATAAGCATTATAATGGTATCGAGCTTCTTGGGACTGAAGATTCGGGGCCTCTCTTGATTCTATGTCACCGGAGGCAAGGCTCTTAGTATTTCCTCCTGCGTTAATACCGGGGGAAAACAATTATTTTGCCGGCGTCACGACCCTGTCGTCAGAGTCAGAATCCAAAGAGGGAAAGGAGTTGGCCTTGAGAGTCCCAAACCCCGAAGAGCAGTGGTTATTTCTAGGTTCCTAGGGCCGCACGGACCGAGCGGCACAAAGGGCGCGGGGCGGGGTCCCGGGTCGGTCCCGGCCGCTGCCGCCGCCTGGTGCATCTCGGGAAAGGCTCCCGCCCGGGCCGCGCCACCGCGCCAGCCCGAGCGCCTTAGTCTCCCCGGCCCTACCCCAGTGGCTCGCGCCGGACCAGGGCAGAGCGCCGAAGCCGGCCAGCCCGCGGCCGGCCCGAGCTGCCGCGAGTTCGGGGAGCCTGAGCTCGGCTGCTCCACCGCGGGGGTCTTTGTTCCCGTAGGCGTCTCCGCCCCACCGCTCCCTCCGCAAAACCTGTTGGCGGAGTAGCAACGGCATGTCCTACTTGGAGATGTCCAGTCTGGGGCGCGCTGGAGAGGGGCGGTAATAGAGGTAGCGAGGGTACCCCTATGTTTAGCTAGCGGGGGGAAAGAGAAGGAAACGCGTCGGGCCCGCCTCCTGCTATTATAGCTCGGAGGCGGGCGGCTCCCTCCTGCGCGGGCAACTCGCGCGGGCTCCGCAGGGCGCGCTGGCGGCAGCGGGGCGGGGCGCGGCGGGCCGGCCCGGGGCCTGCACGTGGTGGGGGTTAGTTCTCCCGGCCCGACCCGGGAGGGCCACCGCTCTCAGGGGAAGGCCGAATGCTGCCCCCCGCCCCGCTCTTGAGAGACGTTTTACTCCTGGGGGGCCCGGAACTGCCCGTCTGGAGGACAGGAAGGGAGGGTGCGGCCTGGCGCGAGCGTTTTCTCCGCGCGGGGACTTCGGAGTGGGAAGCAGCCGGGCAGGGGAAAGGCGGCTGGGTGCGGAGAGACCCACCCATGGGAGGTAACCCGGTCGGCGGAGAGGGGAGAGGGAAATGGGGATTGACACGAACCTCCGTCAGCGGGCTGGAGAAAAGTGCAAGACAGGCATCCCAGAGAATGGCTGCTCTGAGGTGCCACGGCCGGCCCCGGTGGTCCCAGACTCGACGGGTGGCGCGCGGGAACACACGTGGCCCGCGGCGCGCCCGGCTCTGTTTACATTCTGCAGCTTCTCCACGTTGTGCTGCCATCCTCGCCTCCCATTGGCCAGCTCGCCAGCCAAAGCGGCGCTCCTCCCGCGGGGGGCGGGCCCTCCCGGTCCCGGCGTCTTTTCCGAAGGAACTGGGTTCCTTGAGACCTTAGCGGGACAGCCACGGTGCGCCGCAGGATGGCCACTTCCTGACTACTCTATGCTCGCCCGTGCCGCCTCCACCTGGCCGTAGGCCGGGACTGAGCCGCGGCCTGATACGGACGGGATCCGGGAGTTGAGGGCGGGAGGGAACTGGAAAGCACTGGCGGGAGATGCGGAAGCAGAGCGGCGGGGAGCCAGACCTCGGAGGAGGAGCCTCTGAGAGACTCCCTCCCGCCTCCGGGCCGCGCAGGCAGGTGAAGTGGAGAACAGGTGAACGCGGACTGAGGGCCTGGACGAGCGGGCCCCGGGCCATCGGGGTGGGCGGGCGCGGACTGAGCAGGGCGCCGCGCGCGGGCCTGCGGGGCGGGCGCGCGGGAGAGGGGAGCGCGCAGTCCGGAGGTGTCAGTCTGCGGCGCATGCGTGCAGGGCGGGCCTGGCCCGGCCTATATATTGGGTTGGCGCCGGCGCCAGCTGAGAGCGGAGCGGTAGCGGGTCTAGCGGTGAGGAGGCGCTGGGCGTAGGGCGGAGTGCGGGAGAAAAGAAAGCCCCCGGGGCCGATTCTTCCCGCGGGCGGGAGCTTAAGGGAGGAAAAATGGGAAGGCTGAGAAACAGGCGGCTGGGGGGGATGGGTCCCCGCTTTGCGTCCCTGTCAGGATCTTTGGCAGGGGGCCCGGGGAAGCGGCGAGGGTGGAGGGCTGCCCCGAAGGGGGAGGCCACGGAAAATGCCCTCATTCTAGGGGTTTCTCTCTCCCACCCTCGTTAGGGGAGCTCTCCCGCGGGAGAGAGGATGGGGTCTGGGTTCCCTTCACGGGGAGAAGAGCTCCCTGACCAACCCAGTTTCCCCCTTTCTTTAATTCCCTTTCCTTTCACTCCCACCCCCCATCTGGAGTCGGGGTCCCGGTGCCCCTTCAAGCGACAGGCAGGGCCCGGGGGGCTGGGAAGGAGGGAAAGGAGACTGAAGGACGTGACACAAGTCTCCGTTCCCTCCGCCCCCTGCTTCCCCGCCACCGCCGCTCTCCAAATTGGCGCGGAACCGGCTTCTCCACAGCGTTTCGCCTCCACAACCCCCTCTCTCTCCGCGGCTCGTCCACGATGGAAGGGGGGCCGTGGGGGCGCTGCCCAAGTCCCCGAGGGTTCCGGGAGAGAGGATGGAGGGCGCAGAAAAGACCCATTTGGGGGAGATCTGCCTCCTTGCTGGGGGTGCTTTGTAAATTCTTGAAGACCCTCGCGTCCCGGCAGTACATTCAGTTGAGGAGACGCAGGCATGTGTCCAAAAATTAATACCGTGAGACAACCATTGTCGTGCATAAGACAGCATGGTAAATGGCCCAGGCCATCTCCTGAGGGACTGAGCCGTAACCCCTGCAAGAGCGTCTGATTGGCACTTGGGAGAATTTGGGTGACAATGTATTTGACTCTCGTTTTTCCTCTCTCCCCTCCAGAGATTTCACATTCACACACCTGAAAGAAGAGAATGTCAAGACGCAGGTAACATTATTTGTCTTGTAGATAGATATGTTTAAAAGTTAGCTGCTGTGCTTGAAACTCATGACTTACTAAACCGTCTTTAAAAAATTTTACCATAGTAGCCGTTTACAAGCTAAGCAACAGCCCCAGCCCAGCCAGACGGATTCCCCCCAAGAAGCCCAGATAATTCAGGCCAAGAAGAGAAAAACAGCTCAGGTGAGTTAAGGGAAGAGAGAGAGGAGAGATTAGAAAATCTTTGCTGGGACTTCAGTTTAACAATGGTCTTTTTTATTTCCCAGGATGTCAAAAAAAGGAAAGAGGACGTCACCAAGAAACATCAATATGAGATCAGGGTAATGCAGAACTGGGCTGGGTGGGCTTTGGGGAAACGAATGCAGGACAAATAATAGAATTGTGTTATTACTCTGCAATAGAAAGATACCTCTGACTTTTACTTTGAATGCCCCTAGAGGTCAGCAGGAAGGTGCATATCTTTGGGTGGTTTTTATGTGCCTGAATCCTACTACAGCTGCAGTTAAGTTTGCCTTGAAGCAGCTGGTTCCTCTTTGTAAATCCCTCCCTCTTGGAGTCGCCTGGTGCACCAGGGCCCGCCTAATCTGTCCAATGTACTGCTCTTTGTTCCCTCTCTGACTATAGTGGAGGGTCCTAATAGCTGTTCCTTGGGGCATAAATAGGATGTGAAGTCACTGACAGACTGGCACCCAGCCCTTTGCTACCTATCCTCCGTATGTGTGGTACAGAGAATACCAGAGACAATGGTTCTCTTTGAAACCAGCACTGGTTGGGGAAAGGGTCCTTTAAAAAATATTTAATTGACTTCAGTTGATTCCATTTTTAAGGTTTTGCCTTATAGTATTCTGAAGTATGGGAGCAGGCTTAACTGGGGTGGGGGGGAGCTTTTTATAAAACAAGGTGCCCTTGCCACTATTGTAAACAGGGAGAATTTGTTTTATAATCTTGAAGGTGATTAGTGTTTGACTACAGATGCATTTTGTTATTACTCCCTTCCCCCAATACCTAACTTCCAGAATTGTATTTTGTTCTCTAAAACATCCCACCTCTTACTATTTAAAGATCGCTATGAACTGTATGTCTTATTTCTAAAATATGAATGTCAACTAGATTGCCAGCAGTGGTTAACGATGGTGTTTGGGGAAAACTATAGACTGTTTAGAGAGATACTAGCTTCCATTTATGAAAGATCCAAGACAAAAGCTGATTTTCTTTTAAACAAATTTTTGTTTTAAATGACAGAATTGTTGGCCACCTGTATTATCTGGGGGGATCAGTCCTTGTATTATCATTGAAACACCCCACAAAGAAATGGGAACAAGTGACTTCTCCAGATTTACAAATTACAGATTTAAAAATCTTTTTATTAATCCTTCACCTTTGCCTGATTTAAGGTAAGAAAATTTTTTGTAATTTGATATCGAAGATTAAAATTGTACTAAATATATTACACTATTTTGAGTCCTATTTTACCTTCATTATAATGTAGAAAAACATCCAAAAATTGCTTTCTTTACTAATATTTATGCATGTATTGAGAATGGTGATGTTTGCAAAGGATATATGGGTATTTAAAATACTGATTTTTTTATGAAGTAATTTTCATTTACTTGCTGAATACTGTAAGCCTCATTAGAGGCTTTTTAAATGAGGTTTAAATAATTTTTCTAAATTGTTAAGATGGAAATGTATGACATTTTCATTTGATATATCAACCCTATTTCTTACCAAGCTTAAGAAGATCTATACTCAATTCTTTTTTCTAGTTAATATGACTAAGAGGTACAGCTTATACAAAACACATAGTGTAGTATATTTGGCTCTAAGACACACATTAATGGGCAGACACTTAAACTCACCAACCCTCCCCTTCACTATACTCTGTCCCAGCTACCACCACTTTAGGTGAGTCTATTATTGATCTACCTGGAGATGACTGGAACTTGTCTCTACTGGGATCATATGCTTAAATATTTAAATTCTCAGTGTTGCTCCTGAGAAAATATTGTTCTCTTAAATGGGAGGCTTTTATAAATGGGGAAAGCACTCTTGAAAGCCATAGTCTTAAGTTCTTGCTGTGCAATTTCAGGCTTCTGCTTTTGTATGCTAAAGAAATGGTTTCTAAAAGTTAAAGTAGCAACTTTTTCCTAACTTAAAGAGCTTCTCCTTCCAGGTTCTAATTGTATTTCGATGCCTGAAGTTTATTCTTTGTCAAACAGATAGCTTGAATATTATGTAGGTCACATACTCTTTTCTCCTTTCTATAGTTGGGGATGTTCAAAGGATGTTTGGCTAAACATGCTAAAAAAAGAGACCAGATACGTTCATGACAAACATTTTGAAGTTCTGCATTCTGACTTGGAACCACAAATGAGGTCAATACTTCTAGACTGGCTTTTAGAGGTATGTTTCATCAATACAAATTTCCTTTGTCTCTGTATAATGGAAGAGTATTTAGATGTACATGTGCTTTCCATGTGCCCTTGGTATTCATTTCCAGCAGCCATCTTTTTGGGGGTACATACTGCAGTTGATGGTACCAAAATGGAAAATGTCTGCTTTGTGAGAATAAAATAGCACAGCCACTGCATCCCATACAACCCAAACCTAATTCAGAATTCCTGGTGTCTGTGGGTATTGCTGTGTACCAGGCACTGGATACTGAGGATGACCAAGATGAACAGTATATATAATTGACAAGGTTTTGAATTCTGCTATGCAAAGTGAAGAACCAGGACTAGGCTTCAGGGCCCTCAGAAGTCCTTTTCTGCATCATCAACATCAAATTATGATTTAGAATCCTGATTTCTAGGTCCTAAATGATAAGGAGGCTTTGAATATCCAGAGGCACTAAGCCCCCTAGGCTTCATATAGTTTCCCTTTATTACATACCTTTATTCCTTTTCGAAATACACTGTACCATTAATCTAAGGGAGTAACAGTGATCTCCAAGTCTCTAAAGATCTGTGCCAGAATGTTCTCTTGTTTAGGCCCATTCCTTTTCTCCGGATAAGAATTCCAAGAGTCTCTAAAATTATTGGGAAAATCATTACTTGTGTAAATGAGACTGATTTTCCTCCAGCCCTTGGATATTTGCTCTGTAGTTTCCCTGTGTTTGATAGGGATGATGTTCTCTAAGGGAGAAACACTATAGGCTTTTTGGTGGAATAAGACATGGCAGAGTAGATCTCAGAAGCTATCAGAAAAGTTTTTAAGACTATAAAACACTGTCCTTTTGAGTAAGGTTATCATTTCTTATTCTGACTAGAAGTGAAGGTATTTCAATCATGTGGGTACAAGAAGGTAACTTCTGGAGTGCCTAGTGATCATGGAAGCAACCTAATAAGCACAATTATGTAGAATTTTTTTCCTTTTTATGTTACACTGACTTTTTCTCCAGTAGTGGCCCATCAAATTTATTGCTATTTTCCCTTAAATACGATTATATGCAAAACTGTATAGAATATAATAAATCCAGCGGTGTTAAACTCTAGTTTTTCTTAGTATATCCTTTTAGTCTAGGAATGCAAAGATGGTTCAACATTACATTATTAAAGGAGAAATATAAAGTCTCAATAGATGTGAAAGACATTTTTTGAAATTGTTTCCATTCCTCATTTCAAAATATGTAGGAAACTAAGATTTCCTTAACACATTGTTTATTAGAAACTCATGTATTTCCATCTCTGTTTTCCTCATCCTCAAAATGGGGATAAAGTTGCTACCTTCTAGAGTTCAGAATTTAAAACCTTCCCTGTAATAAGTATGGAATGACAGATACTGTTTATTATTAATAGTGAAACTTAGGGACATTCCCATTACAGTCAGAAACAAGGGATGAGATCAAGACTGTCTTATCACCAATGTTGTTCATTCAGTTTTCTTCTATAAAAATTCTCAGCCAATGCAGTAAAACATGAAAAATGAAGTAAAAAACATTGAAAGGAACGTTATCATTTTGTAGTTAAATGTCTACCTAGAACAGTGAAGAGAATCATTTGGAGCTATTAGAATTAAAAATATAAACTAAGCATGAAAACTTAACCATTTACCAGCAATAAACAATTAGGAAATTAATAGAAAAAAGTTCTCGTAGTATCAGTATATCTGGGAATAAATTAAGTCCATGTGAAAAAAAGTAGGGACTGGGTGGCTCAATTGGTTAAGGATCTGCCTTCAGCTCAGGTCATGATCCCGGGTCCTGGAATGAGTCCCACGTCGGGCTCTCTGCTTAGCAGGGAGCCTGCTGCTCCCTCTGCCTGTGCGTGCTGACATATAAATAAATAAAAGCTTTAAAAATAAATAACTTAAAAAAAAACTAGAAAGCGTATATGAGGATGGTAATAGATTCTTTTATCCTATATCCTAGTACATGTTAATATCTGCCCCCCCTCCGTCTTAGCTTTGGTATCCTAAAAAGCAAAGTTGGTCTTTTTTTAATTTTTTAAATTTATTTATTAGAGGGGACGCCTGGGTGGCTCAGTTGTTAAGCATCTGCCTTCGGCTCAGGTCATGATCCCAGGGTCCTGGGATCAAGCCCCACATCGGGCTCCCTGCTCTGCGGGAAGCCTGCTTCTCCCTCTCCCACTCCCCCTGCTTGTGTTCCCTCTCTTGCTGTGTCTCTCTCTGTCAAATAAATAAAATCTTTAAAAAAAAAAAAAAATTTATTTATTAGAGAGAGAATGAGAGATAGAGAGCACGAGAGGGAAGAGGGTCAGAGGGAGAAGCAGACTCCCTACTGAGCAGGGAGCCCGATGTGGGACTCGATCCCCGGACTCCAGGATCATGACCTGAGCCAAAGGCAGTCGCTTAACCAACTGAGCCACCCAGGCACCCCCAAAGTTGGTCTTAAAAGTACTCTAAAGACTGGTATTTTAGAAGAGAACTTTTTACTCTGGAGAAATGCATAGAATATTTAAATGTTTGGATTCTTCTCTAGGTATGTGAAGTATACACACTTCATAGAGAAACATTTTACCTTGCGCAAGACTTTTTTGATAGATTTATGTTGACACAAAAGGATATAAATAAAAATATGCTTCAACTCATTGGAATTACCTCATTATTCATCGCTTCCAAACTTGAGGTAAGTTCTCAAGGTTTATCCATAGATGGATTTACCTCACTTTTTAAAATCAACACATTAATAATCCCAGCAAATACAGCTTTTAACATTAACTCTATAGGAAAGATGAGTGGGTGGTCTTTTTTCCCTAAAACATTTTCTGAATATTGATTTGGATGGATAAATATAGTTCCCTTTGTTAGTATCTGAGCCTATTATAAGCATCTGGTTTAGATTCTGGAAACATCTAGGTGAAATATCCTATGGCTCATTCTGCCAGACAAAATATACCAGTGTGGTCCCTATACATTAGTATGGCACTTGGATTCAATAGAATGGTCTTTGAAAACTGACCAATCAAATGAAATAAATACTATTCCGGGTTAAAATAATGGTTATATCTATATACTGAATGGTCTACATTCTGTATCTGGGTGGTGGTGCCAGGATGGAAAGCAACTCTTTTCTTGCCTGAGGTTTTCTTTCACACAATTTCAATCTATTTTTCTTAAACAGTACATTTTGGATATCATACTTTCTTCTGAAATCATTTTGAGGGTAGGAGAGGGACTGTGAATCATGCCTTCATTTAAGTGTATATTTAAATATACACTTTTGAGCATTAAGAGCTATCTCCCAATTCTGCCAAATTTGGTGAATACTTTTCTATTTAGTCTATCCTTACCTGGCATCATACTGTGTGTTTCAGGTATCTTTCTAGACTGGTATCTTGATTTTTAGCCTGTTCTCATCTGTAGCAGGCCTCTCTTCTACTCTGATCATTCTGTCTATTCTCTGGGCTGTTAAGACAGACCTGTCAGCCAAACTGCAGAACGTATTTGATTTACCATACTTTCATAGTGAAGGAACTGTTTTCAGTAGTTTCTAGACCTTATTTAAAAATAGTGTCTTGTTTTGGTCTGGCCAATACACTAAGCAATCTTAAAACAAGTTTGGCTTTTTATTTTTTAACTGAAATATTTTAAGATATTCTAGTTTATTTTTTTAAAATTCTATTTTTTATTTGAGAGAGCGAGAATGAGAGAGAGAGCACATGAGAGGGGGGAGGGTCAGAGGGAGAAGCAGACTCCCTGCTGAGCAGCAGGGAGCCCGATGCGGGACTCGATCCCGGGACTCCAGGATCATGACCTGAGCCGAAGGCAGTCGCTTAACCAACTGAGCCACCCAGGTGCCCTTATTTATTTATTTGACAGATAGCACAAGTAGGCAGAGGGAGAGGGAGAAGCAGGCTCTCCGCTGAGCAGGGAGCCAGATGCGGGGCTCGATACCAGGACCCCAGGATCATGACCTGAGCTGAAGCCAGCCGCTTAACCTACTGAGCCACCCAGGCACCCCATTCTGGTTGTTTATTAACTGGAAATCAAGATCAGGTCTATGAAAATAAGTCTCAGGGTAGTTGGCTAATTTAGACTCCTGCATCCTTGAAACATATCTTGTTACTAAGACATATAATCACTTCATGAAGCTGTCCTTAAAAATGAAGACTGTATGTGGTTTCTGTATAACTTTTTTAATCTTAATCTCAACTGTGTTTTTTTTAAATCCATTTTAAAGGAAATATATGCTCCTAAGCTCCAAGAATTTGCTTATGTCACTGATGGTGCCTGCAGTGAAGAGGATATTTTAAGAATGGAACTTATTATATTAAAGGTAATAAATTATGTCTAGATGCAATTTAGTGACTTAGTGATTACTACTGAATCTGAAAGACCACAATGTAAATAGTCAAAACAGATTTCATTAAGCATTAGGATCCAGTTCAAAGAGGCTAATGCATCAAAATACTGACAATGGTATGGATGGAGGGGAATTTACTGAACCTGTAGACTCTTCTTTTTCTGTCTTTGAAGTTTTATTGAGAATATATTACTTTAATTTTAAAGTGATTAAGGACAATGCTTTGAAAAGTATAATTAGCATAGCATGTGTATATATAAATGAATTCCAACAGTGACTCTCAAATTCAGTTCTGATATTCCTTCTTTCAACAGATAATGAGAATTATTTCATTGCCTTTTTTTTCCTTCTATACACAAAAAAGGCTATTAACAGAAGCATGGATAAGAGAAGCATAAAGGTGTTTAATCAGGCTCTGAATTAAAGGCTGAATGTTAGCTACTAGAAAGTACGTTATTTGAACACCATGAGTTTTTATATAGGACACACAAAGGACTTTTTATAGATTTATCTAAACTATATGTATTACAGATTACAATCTATAAACGTTTATATTCATAACTCTGTTAAATATCAAGTGCCCAGAAAGATCCCATTCTAATAATAAACTTACTCAAATTCAGGCTTGAAGCACAGCATAAGGGGTATGTAAAGAGGAGACGGAATTTTCTGTAACACTGTTCTCACCTATTTTAGACTGCTTGTAAATGGTCAAGTCCCAGGGCTTCACGGAGGAGAGGGTATCATAAATCAGGATTTGTCTTTTTTGTTTTGAACTTTTAAATTTGATGAGAAGCCATCAAAGATCATGAAAAGAAAAAGTCTAGAATCGGTTCTTGAAAGATCTGAATGGAATTAGCTTTGGTCACTGAATACAATTTTACAAAGGCAGTTTCAACAAATAAAAATAGATGTGGAAGACCAGGGGCTGCAAGAAATGAGAAAAGGAGGAATGAATACTAGGCTCAATGAGCTTTCTAAATAAAGACTAGAGAATAATAAAGGGGCCTATATGAAGCACCTTTACATGCTGAAGTATCTCTAAATATTTTTAATAAAAATAAGGGTAAGAATAAAATTCCTAGGAAGAGGGGCGCCTGGGTGGCTCAGTCGTTAAGCATCTGCCTTTGGCTCAGGTCATGATCCCAGGGTCCTGGGATCGAGCCCCATATGGGGCTCCCTGCTCAGCGGGAAGCCTGCTTCTCCCTCTCCCACTCCCCCTATGTTCCCTCTCGCTGTCAAATAATCTTACAAAAAAAAAAATTCCTAGGAAGAAATAAACCTAAAGCAGAAAGCTTTTATTTATTATTTTTTTATAAGCAGAAAGCTTTTAAATGACTATTTAGTAAAATAGCTATGTATAACAGTGTATATATATCTACATTTATTAACAGGTATTTTAATTCCATTAACAGGCTTTAAAATGGGAACTCTGTCCTGTAACAGTCATCTCCTGGCTAAATCTCTTCCTTCAAGTTGATGCTCTTAAAGATACTCCTAAAGTTCTTCTACCTCAGTATTCTCAGGAAAAGTTCATTCAAATAGCTCAGGTACTTTCACTGACTATATGCTAATGTTGTTTTATTATAGCTGTTTAGTGCATTTATAGTCTTAAATAAGCTATACAACAAAAAGCATAATGAATTAAATTCACTCCTTAGTTGACGAGAACTGCTGATGCATAAAATTGTTCTCAACATTTATGTTGCTTAATAATTTTAGAAGACAAACTTTTTAAACTTTTGAGTTCAAATGTATTACGAATACTTTTCGTTCTTTGAGTCTAAAATAGAGTTAAATACTTTTGGTATATAAAATGGAAAAAGGCATTTAGCCAGTTGTCTTTAGTATGGTATGAAATTATATGATTATCTTATTCTATCTGAATACAAAGGGTACCTATTTTGTACATTAGAATTACGATTAGTTATTTATTAAAAATTTGGTTCAAATTACGCTTTCCTAGACCAGCGTTAACAAATGTTCTTTCCTGCCTGCTTCTCATAAGTACCTTAAAGACTATTTTAAGTGCCATATATAAGTGAGGAAAATCTATGTTCTAATTCTATGTAGGATATGAAAAGCTTACATATGGAATTGAAGGAACTACGGTATATTGGGATGGGTTTTAAATAACCTAGGTTGAAATTTAGTTGTATTTTAAATCTAGTCAACACATTATGAACACTAAAACTGAATTACCAGTAAAATATTAGAATTGGTTCATTTTATAAAACTTTCTAATGAAGACTTTTTCTGTCAATTCCCAGCATTCCAAATTATCTTACGCAGCTATACCCTTTTCGTAGAGAACAAACATTTGATAAGCTGGTAATTACTGTGTCTACATTGTTTATTTCCAAGTCTTCTCACGTTTCTATCTTCTGGACCAATGTGAGCAAACAAACAATTTTATTCCACTGGACAGGTATCACCTTAGGTCTCTGAAATCTAGCCCTTTTACACCATTCTGCTCTTTGTGCAGCTCTTCGTACCTGGATTATAATCTGCCTTTTAACTAATCTGTTTAGACTACAGTGAAGCAGATACACAGAAGGGAACGTGTTTCTAAAGGATCATTCTTAAAATGTATCTTTCCTGATTTAAAATCCTCCAGTAATTTCAGTAATCAGAACTAAAATTCTTAATGAACCTTTATGATCTAACCTAGGCTAATCTATGATCTAATCTGTCCCTCTCCAGTTACTACTCGCCCCCCCACCCCAAATAAGGAATGAAGGAATTCCTTTGTTCTGAACTAGGAGTTCCAAGGGAAAGGAATACCTTCTCATTCATTTATCTTTGCAAATGCTGTTCCCTATACGTGGAATACTCTACCACCTCCCAATCTTCCTAGCTACCTTATCTTTTAAGATTTCAGCAGCACAAGTCTTCCCCACTCTGGATGAGGTGCCCTTCCTACTACTACATATCACACTGCATCCTAACAATCCTTGTCTATTCACTTCCTAATTAACTCAAGCCACCACTCTCAAGGAAATTATCTTTGGATCCCTGTAGTTTTAGCAATTCTTAGCATATGGGTCCACATAAGTACTCTAAAATTGTAGCTGACTGATCTTTAGTAGCAACATGTATCACTCATCCTTTCTCTTAAATATGTGTACTTTTGCTTTTTCCTTTGCTAGCTTTTAGATCTGTGTATTCTAGCCATCGATTCATTAGAGTTCCAGTACAGAATATTGGCTGCCGCTGCCTTGTGCCATTTTACCTCTATTGAAGTGGTTAAGAAAGCCTCAGGTAAAGCACTATATTTTGTTATCTTCTTACATGTCCACTTTTAAAGAGACTTTTATCAACTTTAGCTTCCTATTAAAATGGAAGAAAATTAGCCATTACCTTCCCTTTTGGTTAGAAGTACTTTCTAATCTTCAATATATATCCATAAACAAAAAAATGTCAAATGGAATTTATATCCATTTGAAGTCAGTCAACATGGATATAGCTCTGCTTTAAGAGTTCTTTGGGTTTTGACAATTTGTTTCATATGTAGAAGGTACTGGTTAAGAAGCTCTAAAGTCTTGGGGCACCTGGGTAGCTCAGTTGGTTAAACGTCCGACTCTTGGTTTTGGCTCAGGTCATATCTCACGTCCTTGGGACGGAGTCCTGTTTTTCTGCACTCAGTAGGGAGTCTGCTCCTCTACCCCTCCCCTTTGCTCATGTGCTCTCAAATGAATAAATCCTTTAAAAAGGGGGGGGGCTCTAAGTAATTTTCTCCCTCAAAACGGTCACATTATTAAAAGGCCAAAAATCAGGGCGTCTGGGTGGCTCAATGGGTTAAGCGTCTCTCTTGATTTCAGCTCAGAATCTTGGGTGGTGGGGATCAAGCCCCATGTTGGGCTCTGCTCCTCCCCTGGCTATCATGTGCGCTCTAATAAATTAAAACCAAAAAAAGGCCAAAATCAAGTTCTAATAAGTTAAAGCAGATTAGCACTCTCAAACTATGTTTAAAGACAGTTTCTGATGGAACCTTCACATTTTCCTAATTTTCCTCTGTCTAGGTTTGGAATGGGACAGCATTTCTGAATGTGTAGACTGGATGGTGCCTTTTGTCAGCGTAGTAAAAAGTACTAGTCCTGTGAAGCTGAAAATTTTTAAGAAGATTTCTATGGAAGACAGACACAATATCCAGACACATACAAATTATCTGGCTATGCTGGTATGTTTCTTGTGGGACTTCTTGGTTTTTTATCTAGTAAGTCACTGAAACTGATAGTAAGGATACTAGAAATACTTCAGGGCAGTGATTTAAGCTACTAGGGGGTAGAAAGTTCTAATGGGCACACTAATGTCACAGCAAGATTTGTGGAGTGTCTCAAGATCAATGCCAAGAGTCCAGGTAAGAGTTTTTAAAAATACAGTTGTAGGCAGTTCAAACTGCTGAATCTCTAAAATGTGACTAGTCATGCTTGCAAAGACAGAGACCACTACATGAGGCCTAAATAGTCTCAAATGAATACCCAAAAAATCTGGTTTGACGTTAACTCTATCAATGCTTTATCTTACCTGTTATTGTCTGCATGATTTCTTCACACCTATAGGATGAAGTGAATTACGTAAACACCTTCAGAAAGGAGGGACAGCTGTCACCAGTGTGTAGTGGAGGAATTATGACACCACCGAAGAGCACTGAGAAACCACCAGGAAAACACTGAGGAAGTTAACTAAGCAAACAAGCTGGAGCTGACTGAGTATTGGGTAGAATTTCACAGAACTGAACTACTAAAGTTTTCAGAAAAGTAGTGCTATGACTGTCCTAGCCAATTCAGAAGTTTCACTGCCATTCTTTGAATTTAAAAAAACTACTTAAAATTGGCATTAAGGAAGAAATTCCTAGGTTAGCTGTTTGTTTAAACAGCAGGATTGTTTACAAAGACGACTTCATTCCCAAAGTGACTGGATAGAAGCCAGCCACAATTTGTGCCGTAACAATTTTTTTTGATCCAGTGTTACTATGTTTATCTTGATAAACTGAGAATTTTATCATTGGCGTTTTAGACTAGGTAAGTACTACCTTAAAGGGGACATTGAGTAATACAATACTTTGAATCTAGTTTATAGATTCTCAAAATTCATATTCTTGACTAGTGCAATTTGGTTTTTGAAAATAAAATTTAAACTTGTTTACAAAAGGTTTAGTTTTTATAATAAGGTGACTAATTTATCTATAGCTGCCGTAGCAAGCTATTATAAAACTTGAATTTTTATAAATGAACTTTAATCTGTTTTTTAACTGATACATTTGCCTTGCCATGGCATTTTTTTAACCAGTAAGGCTTAGATGAACAAAAAGGGGGAATACCAAAGAAATTTTAAACAAGATAAATGTTGTAGCTCCTACTTTGGGCCTTGACACAAAGGTTGCTTTATAATAACTTTTCGTACATCACAATTTAAGTGAAGAAGTACCCTTTCAACCTATTTATATGAGAAAGTCACTTTATTAACTCCCAAGATATCCCTAAGGACTTTTTCTTAATTTAGTGTGACTAAGACTATTTATGTTTGCAAAACTATTAAGGTCCTTTTTTAATTCCTACATTATGAGTTAAGGACAGTGTCAAAAGTGATAAAGCTTAACACTTGACCTAAACTTCTATTTTCATAAGGCAGAAAAGTAGTAAATGTATACTGACTCCTAGATTATTTATTAAAAACAAATAAAAAAAAAAAAAACCTGACATAAGAACTTGCTGTATATAGACTAGCTACTTCTACATATTTTAAAAAAAGAACAAAACAAAATTTCAGCCTCAAGAGTGGGCCTAATTGAAAATAAATTATACTAAGTTGCTAGTTTATTCTGTTACTGGACATGTGAATCTCTTCCTTTGAAGAAATTATAAATTTAAGCTATGGTTATGGTATGAAGTCTTCTGTATAGTTGTTTTTCAACTGTTTCAGTATTGTCTGAAAAGAAAACACCACTAAATGTGTACATATGTATTATATAATCTAATACTGTTTATTTTTAGCCCATTGTTTAAAAAATAAAAGTTAAAAAATTTTAACTAACTGCTTAAAAGTAAAGTTTTGCCATTGCTTGGAGGAACTTTTTTTTCCTTCTCTGCGCTGCCAGCTGTAACACTTCTTCTGGGTTGCTTGCGTTCAATTCTGTCTGGCCGATGGCTTTGATCTTCCAAAACAAGAAAGTGATGTTATTACAGGTGTGGTCAAAGATAAAGTCTTGCTAGTGTACATAATATAAAACTACCTACATGCTAACAATTTAATGAGTAGCCGAACTTATAAATGATAAGAGGTATGGAAGAAACTAACAAAGACGGACTAGAGCCACTCTTAAAAAAATTAAATCAGATGCTGAGCCATCGTTTATGGAATTACAGTAGGTCCCCCTTATATGAAGGCAACCATGGTCCGGAAGCTGATGATCCTCCTCCTGACATAACTTAGAAAGTCAACAGTAGGGGGCCCTGGGTGGCTCAGTCGGTTAGGCATCTGCCTTCGGCTCAGGTCATGATCCCAGGGTCCTAGATCAAGCCCCGCCATCGGGCTCCCTGCTCTTGCTCATGCGTGCGCGCACGCTCTCTCTCCCCTCAAATAAATAAAATCTTAAAAAAAAAAAAAGTCAACAGTAACCTAATGTTATACCACAACGCCTACATCATTCACCTCACAAGGGTGAGTACAATACAGTTAAGAGACTTGGAGAGAAAGACTATACTCACATAACTTATTACAGTATATTGTTATAACTGCTCTATCATAGGTATGCATACACAGCGTTTAGTACTAGCCATGATTTCAGGCATCCACCAGGCGTCTTGGAACTTACCCCTGTGGAAAAGGGGGGAGACGACTACTCTACCTACAGTAACATTAATTCATATAAGTTTGACTAAAAATACCAGTAAATAAACTCTGCATGTCATTTGACATTTTTACAGTCAAATTCGGGCTCCAACAATATAGTGTGAAAAAATTCATGTTTCAGGAAAGGCTTCACTTTTTTAAGGTGCAAAAACAGTTGTTCAGCACTATAATAGCATACAGTAATTCATTTCTTTCATGATTAGAAATACCTCAGCTTACTAAAAATCCATAGTACTCTGCCAAGGAGCATTTTGTGAGAACATATTTTACGATCTTCGAATTAACCTTTACCTACCCCTTTAGATTAAAAAAAGAAACCCAATTAGAACATCTTTAGGGGCGCCTGGGTGGCTCAGTCGTTAAGCGTCTGCCTTCGGCTCAGGTCATGGTCCCAGGGTCCTGGGATCGAGCCCCGCATCGGGCTCCCTGCTCCGCAGGAAGCGTGCTTCTCCCTCTCCCACCCCCCATGCTTGTGTTCTCTCTCTAGCTTTGTCTCTGTCAAATAAATGAATAAAACCTTAAACAAAAAAAACTTTAAACAACAAAGACTATTCTGATGTGTAGCTTGAAGGGTGATAGTAGACTATTCAGAAATGATCATGAGAGAGTAGGAAGAATTGCTGGAGGATAACCATTTCCATATGAAGGAATGCATGTGGAAAAACATGGTCTTAGGGTATAACTAGAGAATTATTTCCAAAAAACAATACCACAAAGATGACTGGCTATAAAAGTCCAAAGTAAAGACAAATTGGGATAGACCAGAGATTTGAGAGAAGTAATGTACTCTGTGAGTAGTAGTCAAAACCGTAAGTGGATGAAATTACCTAGGAAGGATGTAGGGCAATCAAGATAACGGAGGAACTTTCTGGGGAAACCAAGGTTAAGGGGTAGACAGAGGGAGATACCCACACAGAAGAAAAGTAACGGTGAAAAGAAAAAATGATGTCAGGAACGACAAAGGAATTAAGATTTTAAGAAGTGAGATGTAAACAAAAGGATAAGGACTGAAGAGTATCCACTGGCTTTGACATTTGGTGACCCTTGAGATAACAGGAGTGGTGATGGCAGAAGTCAAATTACACTGGGTCAAAGAGCCTCAAAAAACTAGGTAGAGAAGGGGAAGAGGGAGGTAGAGGCACAGTCAAGGATGAAATAGTTTATAAGCTATGGGAGAGGTTGACAATACAGGAGCGGAGACAGCTCATTAAAGGTCACTGAAGAGATAGAATCAAAGCCTAGAAACTTGCCTTCATCAAGAAGTAACATAACTTCTTACTAAGAGTGTACTTAGCGGTGAGCACAGTTACAGATTTTAAAGATGGGAAGGAGGGATTTGGCCACAATTCCCAAAACTACAATTCCCATGTGGAGGTCAGTCTTTTTTCTGGTCTAGTCTAAACACAGGCAAGGAAGTACAGAATAGGGAGAGAAAGGACAGGGGACTCAACAGAAGGCAAGTCTAAAGTAGACCCCTGACTGCTGGCCATAACCCAAGAGGTGAGGGGCCAGCTATGGCTGGAGACCATGGTTTGGTAGTGGCTCACCAGTTTATATGGTTGCACGATTTTTTTCCAACCAGACTCTGGCTCAGGAAAAAAAAAAAAGCATAAATTTTTGAAAAGGGATTTTTCCAGGTGAAGTGAAGGACAAAAAAAGCAAAGATGCTATAAATATTGATCAAAGGGTAGTTCTGACAGTCAGCCATAGACAAGCAGGGGTTCCCCAATCTGGTTTGTCATCAGAAGTATCTGGGAAACTTAAAATGTGGATTCCAGGACCTCATCTCAGACCAACTGAATCAGTATCCTGATAGCACACAGATTGGTATTGGCTGTACTAAAGTGAGTAGAAAAGGAAGGGAAGCTGGGAATGGGCTGACAGGAAAAACTGGTCTTGAACCTGAACATCTCACTGACAATGAGGAACATGGGAGCCAGGAAGTAAGAGAGGGAAAGATTACTGGCAGAGAGATCTTAGGTAGAACAACTGACAATAAGGCGTGGCTATGGGTGTGGGTGGCTGATGCAGAGTAAAGGTTAACAATGGAACTTGTAAAGCTAGGGGAACTGGGTAAACTGATCACATATTTTGATGCAAGTAGAGAAATAACCACTAGTTTGGTTAGATGAGCTCCTCAGGAGATAGATGTAAAACTTTTAAAGAGAAAGGGTGTAAAATGGTTACAAGTAAATATGGTTTGGAAATAGCACTGGGGAAGTAACGATTTCAGTACTGCCTTCCAGCCCTGGATAAACCGGAAATGGAGAAAGAGTTGCCTCCAATCAAGTACAGCTAGCTTCATGTTCTCTTTCCTTTCATTTTTTAAAAAAGATACTATAATCATTTTCCTCTAAATAATGGTCATACAATTTAGTCCAAGTAGAGGGCTTTAAAAGACACACAACAGCACATAATTTTGTTAATATGGATGAAAGAGCAAAGAGAAAATATCTATGGTGATAATGATGCAAAAATGCTAGGCAAGTAAAAAAGGTCATAAATTTATATCTGGCTTAGATGTCAAATCTTTAAATAATCTATTCAATTACCGAGCATCTATATCGAGCCAGGCACCATTCTAGGTATCAGCTATGACAAAACCAAGTCCCTCCTGTGGGGAAATAGGAAGGGGAAGAGGAAGACAGAGGCACAATAAACAGTAAATATACCCTCTGTCAGATGTAGGTGAGTAAATATACCCTCTGTCAGATGTAGGTGAGTAAATATACACTCTGTCAGATGTAGGTGAGTATAATGGAAGAAAATTTCAAAAGGGAAATGAGAAGGAGAGTGTTGGAGGGAAAAGGATGGAGAAAGACACTGTTATTTTATACGATGCCCAGGAGATGATCACTAAGAAGACAGGTGAGGAGACCTAAGGGAAGTTAAGAAATGTTTCTAGAGAATAAAACTTCAAAGGCTCTTCAGTGGTGAATATTTTCAGCATGTTCAAAGAACAGCTAATGGTGTAGCAGGAGTTAGCAAGGGAGAAAATCGAATGGATGGTTACAGGTCAAGTCATCTGCAGCCTTGTAGGCCATTATAAGGACTCTGACACTGCATGAGATGGGAAACCATTTACAGGTTTGGAGCAGAGAGAGGATATGATCTAATATTTTAATATAAAATAAACTGGAGGCGGGGCGCCTGGGTGGCTCAGTCGTTAAGCGTCTGCCTTCGGCTCAGGTCATGATCCCAGGGTCCTGGGATCGAGCCCCACATCGGGCTCCCTGCTCAGCGGGGAGTCTGCTTCTCCCTCTCCCATTCCCCCTGCTTGTGTTCCCTCTCTCGCTGTGTCTGTCAAATAAATAAATAAAATCTTTAAAAAAATAAACTGGAGGTAAAAGCTCTAAAGTCAATATAGGACCTGTTAAAAGTAAACACAGGTAACCAAATTCTGGCAATAACTAGACACACAAAATCTTTTTTTGTTGCTCCAAATCTTAACAATGGTTTAATACCAGGGAAATTAAGTATGTCACTGAAGAAAGGCATAAAGTAACTTACTGCAATTTGTCTTTTATCTGTTTCTCCTCTTTTATGATGAAGATCTAAACAAATCAGTTAAGAATAATAAATCTGATATTATTAAATACCATGACAGAATCTCAATTGTTCAACTTTGATTTGGGAAATACACAGTACTTTTTTAATTTACAGAAATGAACCATTCTAATATCACATATATTGATGAAAGGATACAAGTCAAGTATTCCAAAATGGTAACATCCCATATGTAGTCATAGTAGGAGTCCATAGCATCATGACTGAAAAACAGAATTTAGTTACTTTCTCCTTCTTAAGCAGAAAAATTTCAGCTTCATTTTAAAAATCATTCATACCTGTTTTGTTCCTGCAATGATTTAAAAGCTGTCTTGTAGTCAATTTCTCTGAGGAACTGACATAAAATTGCCACCTACATAAACAAAGATTTGAAAATGGTTTCATGTAATCAGTGTCAACAATGACTCTTTGGGAGGGGTGAATTTTAAGTTTAATTCTTTTTTTTGAATAATCTCTACACCCAATGTGGGGTTTGAACTCACGACCCCAAGATCAAGAGTTGCATGCCCCTCCAACTGAGCCAGCCAGGTGCCCCCAGGAGAGGTAATTTTTAATGATTCTTATATCAAGAATATATTAAAAAAATAAAAAAAAATAAAGAATATATTAAAGAGGACTTGCAGATCAAA